TAGGAGGCAAGACAGAGTTTGAGAATGAATTTTTCAGCCAAGTTTGGACATAGTTTTCACGTGAATGCTCAACAACCTTCTCTTGAAAACCCTCGTGGTTTAGAGCCTCTAGTGTAATGGCACTTTCTAACATATTTTTCTTACTTACACCTTTACCTAGATTTTTCTTCATCTTTTGCTTTTTCTCTTTCTTTGATAGCAAATGTTCCAAATTATTCTTCTCTTTTTCAAAGTTAAGATTTTTTGGCACTTCTGACAATGGCTTTGATGAGTTAAGTGTCTGTTTGAAAGAACTGGTCATAAGATGTGTGCCTTCTTTCTCAGTATTAAGAATATCCTGACTGTGTTTAGATTCATTGTTTGAATCAGCTGTTATTAGACCATCTTCACTCTTTGCAGTTGAAATGATACTGCTTTTTTTGCCTGACTTCAATTTTACCTTGGCTAACTTCTTGTTATTATTTCTTTTTTTTTTGTTAGATGATGATGATGGTGATCCATTTTGTTCCACCGAATCCTGGTGATTGAACTCACCTTCAGGATGTATGGTTTTGTCTGAATTGGCAGACCCATCATTGTTTCTTACAAAATATTCAGATCCTTTTTTCTGAGGCATTTCAGAATATTTATCCATAGCCTCTGTTGTGGAATCCTGTGTGATATGTAGTCCCTCACTTCTAATCATCCCTGAAATTTCATTATGCTTTTGACTTTCATATGTACCTTCCTCTAGAAAGCTAGATGATTTTCTTTTCTTCTTATTATTTTTGGTGAGGGATGAGGCAGGCTGGTTATTCTCAATGGGCGTTGTCATCACAGATTCAGTTTTGGCATTGATTTGAGTCTCACTTTCAGTAACAGTAGGAAAGAATCCGGTTGTTTGATTTACTTTCTCAGTCAGACTCTTGCTACATGGAGGTGCCATCATTTTCATCTGGCTATGTCCAGCACAGGCTGAATGCACTGAATCCTGAGAAACACCTACTAAATCAGCAGCTTGGCATTTTATTTCTTCTTTTGACTGACATAATTCTGTATATGTAATGAAAGAACTCACTGACCTTTTTATTTGTTTAATATCACATGACTTGTGGATGTGATCAGCTGTACCTGGTCTAGCTGTCTGGAAAGTTTTTGACAATGGTGCGAAACCACTGATGTTGGCTTTGGAGGTTGATACTAGACTACTATATGCACCTTCTCCCACAGCTGATTTCTCCAATATATTCTGTACCAATTCATTCTCATGAGGCACTTCTAATATCTTCCTATTTGTGGTTTCTATTAACTCACTACTTTTGTGGCTTACTTTAAAAAGCATTTCTTCTTTTATATTTTCTGAAGACAGCTTTAATAAACCATTGTCACTGACCTCATTAAACTTTGGATTACTGACACTTGATTTTTTCTTGCTTGAATGAGCTACCATGCAATACTCAGATGTTTTTTCTCCATTCTCTATTTCCTCACTGTAGGAAAACTGTCCTATTGTCTTCTCTTGAACCTCTTTCTCAGATACCAAGGTGACACTTTCAACTACTGCTTTCTTTTGTCTAACACGCCTTGGTCCAGGGGTGGGAGGCCTATAAAAGTGAGGCTTAATATTTTCCTCAGGTACATTGCTTACATCTAAATCTGCAAAATTGTTCTTAGAGACATTACAATCAGCAGTTTTCAAATCAGATTCTGATTCTTTTTCTGACACTTCCTCATTGGATTGCTGTAATGAGTCTTCCCCTTCTTTACTGCAGCTCTTCAAAAATGGAGCATCTTTTGGATTTATACAGTCTGACATATTTACATTGGATGAGCAGTCTTCCACATTCATTGCAGAAGAATTGCAAATGGAGATGTTTTTGTCATCAGAAAGTCCAGCACGACTTACAGTGGTTGTCCACTTAATGGTTTCTTCCTCTTTAATTTTGAATCGAACTTTCATTTCCACTGTGATACTGCCATCTTGATTCATGTGAACAGATTTCTCAATGTCATCTTGATACCGTGCCACAGATAAGTCTTCACCCATAACTGACCGATTTCCTCCTATCCCATTATGGCTGTCAAGAACATAGGAAGACTCTGAGTTGTTATCATTGCTGGATCCTTTATCAGAACAAACTGAGAATATCTGAGATCTTGAACTAGAGTCCATTTCAGTTCTCACTACCAATAATTACATTGAAAGAGCACAGATTCATTGAGTAGACAGAAAGCAGAGCAGACAAATATCATGGATAAGGATCCAGATGATGAGACAGCAGGCAGGCAACAAAGGAAAAAGAAGAAAGGAGAAAAATTAGTATTAAAGATGTTAATGAAGTGTGTTATTTTACATAGTTTGTTTTTTTATTTATTTTGCATTAGAAAGTACAGAAAAAAATTGGATAATCTTGCTATTCATCTATGAAGTTTTCAGAGAAAAAAATGTAAGAAAGTCTTGATAAAGAATTAAGGATTTAAATGCTTGTTCACTTATTTTTATTTTACAATAAGTTCTTTCTGATGCCAGAACCACAGTCTTATTTGAAGCTCCAAAGTCTAAAAAAGATTATACTTTTTTATTTTAAAAGGTGTAATATTTTACTTTACTCATTTTTATACTTAATTGAGAGCTGAGGTTGCCTTGAGCTTTTCAAGGGATTCAGAGGTGCCCACTTGTTTGGGCTTCAAGCTACCAGCTTTACTTCCTCTTCATGCTTTGGTGATCATTAATATATCACTTCCAATTAATTCTTACAGTTAGTACTAATACCTGTCAATATGTATGTCCTTGAGCTTAATCTAACAATCTACAGTACAAGAATAACTACACTTTGTAATGTCATGAACATGTGAGGAAAGGGTTCATATCCAATCCTTCTGTGAAGTAAACATTGAAGTTCTTGAACTTCTTGTAAAATCTCAAGTTAAATCATGACATTTTGGAACACAATTGTGTATATGTACTGTAGACAATGGTGCAAAACTCAGCAAAGCCTATGAGAATACTTCTAGACTTCAGTGATTTTTGAATGTGGCACAAAACGTGGTAGCATACACAATATATACTCCCACAATATGTTTTGATTACTCTGCAATAACTTGGGTCTTTAAAAATTTTATCTCATCTCTCCCTCACAGTTGTCACTGAAGAGTTGAGAGCTAAAAAACATAAGAATAAAGTTTTGCTGTCTTCCAGGGAAACAGTGCAGGTACACCCACACAGAGGTATGAACAATTGCTACTGATATCTAAATATATATGTAATCTACCACTTAATACATAGGTTTCACTTGCAAAAAGCATTTTAACACATGTAATATTAACTGATCTACTTTTCTTGAATTTAAGTTGGTTTGTTTTTTCAATTGGTCTCACTTTTCCAGTAGTATATTACTGTTACAGGAGCATGTCTATAACTTCAGACAAATGGCTTTGCAAGCTTCTCAAGCATATGCTTTACTATGAACTAAATAAGAAACAGAACTTTGTACTAATTCTAACACAGACCAGAACTTCTGCCCCACAAAGAAAAAATCTCACCTTTACTGTCTCAGGAAATGAAATTGGAACAAAGATGCTGACATTTCATTTTCCATGCTTTTATATCATCAAAGATATCTCCTACACCTGATATTTTTAAAATTCTCAGGTTGAAGACAAAAAGGGGTGTTTATTTTTTTTTCCTCCCTCCTTCTGTGATTGCTGTTGACTAAGAATTAGAAGCTGATGATTATCAGATTCAACAACTCAGTTTTTCTACAATTGCAAGACTCAGTCTTTGTCTCAAAGCAGAATCTAGGTAGGATTTTTGTTTCTGCAGAACTTTCATTCTCAAAATGTTCTTACTCATTCTCTCTTGCCTCATTAGTTATACTCTGCAAACAGGTTTCAAACTGTGCAAGTCAAAGTACATGAAAGCTGAAAAAAACTAAAATTAATAGCTTGGTGGGGAGATAATAAAGTGCAAGGAATGTGAATGGAACTCCCTCAAGTAAATGGAAATCAAATGTCATATATTAAAGTGCTCCATGACACTGTCAGGGTTACTGCGGAAAGTCCCAGTACAGTAACAATTACAGAGCTCCCTGGGTTCTCCCGTACAGCATGAAGCTGTAGCAAGAGTTCCTCTGGATTAAGGAAGATCCTGGACACAGAACCTCAGCCTGACAGGATGCTCTAATGTCAGGAATTCCCACAGGACTTAAAGCTCTGGTACTGCAGCATTTAATTTCCCTCAGGCTATTCATCAGGCTATTCATCTGGCTTTAGTTTCCCTCAGGCTATTCATCTGGCTTTTCTGCAAGAGCTCCTCATGATCTTGATCATCCACTGGCCACTTCACACTCTTCCTGATCTTATCAGGGGAGCAATTCCATGAGTAATCAAAGAAAAAGCGTATACTTGTGTATCTTTTCCTAACCTTATTTAAAAAAATATATATAACAGCCATAAGGATATAGGAATGAATAATATTCTGTTTGGTCAAAAGCAGCTTCAAAAGCATGATGAATTTGTGAGTGGATGGATGCTATGCTACTTTTCCTATTTATGTGGAGCATGTGACAAGAGAAGAAGAGTAAGTCGTGACAAGCCAAATCTCCACTTGTTAAGTTCTGAAAACTGAACAAAAGTTTTGCCCAAGCAATTCAGTGAGAGCCCGAAGTAGCCTGAGGTTTTACTTTTACCACTGTTGTTATTAATTCTGACAATAAAAAATTAATAACAATGGCAATCAAACAAATTAAAGTGAAATATACTCATAAATTTTCATCCATGTTCTAAGTAAGTCTAACAGAAACAAAAAATGCATACTAGCTAAGTACTTAGCAGAAACTTGCATTTTAAAAAGAAAATTGACACTTTGATCTTTCATAAGCTTATAGAGGAGTCACTATTATATCAGATATAAACAGTTTCAACTGACCTTTCTGAATATCCTTGATCCTAGTAAAATTGCCACTGTTTATGTCTTATGCTGAGAGAGATAAATTAATAAAATACAAATTAATTCAAAGAACTTACTCTTTTCACTTTCTGACTTGGCATTTGCTTTTGGGTACACACGATTTCCAGTTCCAAGGAGTTTAGCAGGTCTCAAATACCCAAGAGATTCATAATTGTTTGGTTTAAAAGGCTCTCTCCCTGCTGCGACTACAGCTCCAGAGCACAATATCAAGACCTGAAGATTAGGAACCTGGAAAAAAAAGTAACATTAAAAATGGTGTAAGAGATTCATCCCTTTCAAGCTTTAATATCTTCACTCCTTAGTCTCTACATTCATTTGCAGCAGACTATTAAATATGTATCACAGCACGGAATTAATTTTTCAAATCCTATAAGGCAATTCCTATTTCTGTGAGGATATATCTTGTTATATAAATATATTGGATAATTACTTCAAGAAGCAACTTGGATCCAGATCAAAATTTTCTTACAATTAAAGTGTTTACACATGTAATTTTGTTTCATTGTTGCACAGTGACGGTTCATAGTCATGAAATATGAATATGCATTTGGAAGCAGATATACATATGAAGACATGGAGGAAAATTTCAGAATACAGCACAAGCAGTTGACTCATACTTCTACAAAGGACATAGGACACCATCACAAAGCATTATGCTTTGGAAAAGACCTCTGGAGGTCATGTAGTCTAACCCTCTACTCAAAGCAGATCTGACTGGATCAAGATGCTCAGAGCCTTGTCTGACAATTTTGACTGCATGTTCTAAAATACATTGCAAATTAATGCTTAGAAACTGTATTTCACTAACTTGTAGGTAATATAAACACTTTCCCAACCTAATACATGATTTCAAAAATGAAGGGTAAACAGGAGATGTCTTATGAACTCTCTGAGTTCTGCACAGATTTCTCTTTCTAGATACCTGCTAAGTGTAAGCATAAGTGTTTTCCTGTGGTTAAACAACAGACAGAAAAATCACTGACATAAAATTAGACAAAAGCACACGAGACTAAAATCTGAATTATTAGTGCTGCACCATCTGAGTTTAGAGGTAGAGAAGCTGGCCCGTGGTTTGAAACTATAATAGGCAATCAGGTGTCAGAGTTCTAAGTCATTAATGGCAAACCACTCTGCATTTGTGCAATGATAAAAGTACCTGTAGACATTAGATGCTATTTATCATGTTCTAAAACATTAAAAATCCCAGATAAACAACATTAAGACTAAAAGAAGGTTTTTGTAAATGGGTAAAAGTATACAGTTGGGAGCATGACTTAAAGAGGCCTGAGTAAGAGAAAATAAAGTATTTTTTCTTTTTTCCTTAAAATGAAATGTGTCCTCACTAACTTCTCTCTGTTCCCAAGATTCCAGTTTATTTCCTCCAAGCCGGTAGCCCTTCTGAAGTGGTAAAAAGCATGGAAAGCAAACAGACGAAATTTAGCACATGAGATCATACATCAGGACCGTGTTTCAATCACGGATACAACTTCTTTTTTATTTACAATAATCTACAATAAATCACAAAACAAATGTCAGCACTCATCCCTTTTCTCACCTTTCTGCCATCAGTGGTATAGAGCTTTGCAACTGGGTATTGCATTAACTCACTTATATAATCCAGAAAGGCCTCAAATGTTTGTGTATTTTTCTTTCCCAAAACTATGGTGCGCCTAAGTCTTACATCCCCATTTTTGAAAACAATCATCTTTTTGGGAGTTGTTATTCTGCTTTCTCGGTGGCCAAACCCATCTTCATTCTGCCTTGCTAATTGCACAGCTCGACGACGAGCACTGACAGGCCTGCTGATCTGCCAGGGCAGTGGTTTTCTGCTGGCCTGTTCCAGGTTGATGGGCTTCATTTTTCTCTGATGAGAGCAAATATAGGATTTTCCATCTTCCAGATCCTCCAAATTGGTGATGCTGTGTCTCCCTCTTGGTGTACTAATATTCCTTACTCCAAAAGGTAATGGGACCCGTTTGGACAAACTATCCAGCAAGGCATCAAATGTCTTGTAAGACCTGCTATTAACTACCATTTTGATTCCATTGAACTGGGGATCTCCGCTTTTATAGAAACAAATCCGTTTTGCCACAACAGGTTCAGTAACATTGAAATGGCGCGCAGATAAGCTCTGTTCGCCCTCGGAGGAGTTTGGATGATTCGCTGAGTAACTGCTTGAAGGTGTTTCACTCATTTTGACAGTAATCTGGAAGAAAGAGAAGATGGATGTAAAACTTCCTCTGTGACTAGCAAAAACATGATCTACATTTTGAAAGGTGCAGGAAGAGGATTTATGAGGAACCAACAGCAGCGTGTTGTGCCAAAAATCACTGGATTTAAATGGATTCAAGCTGTTATCACTAAATTTCACAAAGACTCCAATACTGTCAGATTAAGTTAGCATAGCTCTACTTGCAAGTATTCCCCAAACTCTGCAATGTAATTTCAAATCTCTTATCGTTTTGGTACAAGAGACAGTTTCTTAGAAGGAGGTGGTTTCTCAGTCCATCCTCTGAGCATGAAGCTAATGACATTTCACATTTAAGATATTTAAGAAAAGTCCTTACTAGGAGGGAGAAATCTGTGCATTGGTACAAGCTTTTTTTAGTCCAAAATAGCTAAACTGAAAGACAATGAATGCAGTCTGATCGTATATACTAGTTTCATATCAAGGCAAAACCATGGAAATAGAGAAAATCTCCTGATTTACATAACTATACCATAATAAGGCCCAAAACATGTGTTAGAGTGAAGTTTTATCATAAATTGACATATTTGCTTTTCTATTACAAGTTTTTTTGTCTCACAATACATATTTACTACAAGAGTTGTATTTATACTGAGAAGAAAAAGCTACTGATAGAATAAGGCATTTTTAGCAAAAATAAAAGCCATTAAGTCTCTCAAAAAGACACAGAAAATTCAGGTATTCTTCAGGAGAAGTAGCCTTGAAATGAAAACATTTAAATACTGGTCTTATAAACAACAAATTATGTTTGACAACCACATTGATAGTCTTCATGTTTATAAATAGAGCACCAATCTTTCCATTTTAATCCAATCTAATTATAGATACTGTAATGACAACCCTTTAAGTGACTAAAATAACTATCTTAATGATCGGTTTGCTGGAACAAAGGGTAAAAAATTGTCAACTAGCCTCAAGGAAACAGTTTTAGTAGACTTTTACTGAAAAGCTACGTAGCAGCCTCAGGGAACACTTGTCATCAAAATAAATTAATTTTTTTGATGATGTAATCTTAATATAGCTGCCACATTGAGTAATGGAACAATCTCTGGCTACCATGTATTTTTTAATGAAGCTATGGAACACAGAATTCTGATTATTTCAATACTGCACATATCAGTTCTGAAATTGATAAGAAGATGCTATGTTTCGAGACAGTGAAGGTTCAAATAAAGTTGATAAGATTTGACAAGATTTTATCTTACTGTGTTCTTACAGCTTTTCCAATACTGCTTCAGCTAAAGTGCAATAATGCACTGCTTCAGCTCAGGTCTTTTGCCTTCACTAGGAGTTAATTGTTTTGAGCACTGATCAGAACACAGGAAGAAATATCTCCTTATAAGACATAATTTATGCTGTAAAATATACTCCTCTAAGTGTTAAACTAAAAAATAGCCCAACAGGTCTGCACTAGAATGATGTACTCGAAGAATGAATTGCATAATCACAATTTTAAATAAATAAATACATTTTAAAAGCTTAAAAAATGAAAAAGAAAAATAGCATTTAATTAAGGAATAAGCAAGAAGGAATTTTCAAGGTTGGCTGTAGCAACTTACACAACCCAGTTACTGAAATGGCTTATTTCTGTAGGAGGGAGGAGCTCCATTTCAACTGAAACTACTGAGAGCTACAGTTGTCCATATTTTTTGGCAGATCTACTCATTAGCTGAGTAAATTTTCTCTATAATTCTATATTGAAAGGTTGATTGGTGAGTTTAGACTAGGGACACAATTTGAACCAGACATTTCATGCTTTATGCGTCATTCTGCTTAGCTGGATCTGCCCAGAGGAAATCTATAAGGGCATTTTTGTTGCTAGCTGCAACACAAACTTTCCTACTCTCTTTGCAGACCAAATGTTCTACTTAAGTGAAAGCCACAATGACAGAATTTCTTGAGTGAATTGAATGTCATGCTACCTCATTTCAGCTGGCCAAGATGGAGTTTGAGAGCCCAGTCCAGGATCTCTGGGGGAAAAGCACTTTTGTCAACAATGGCCAGAGAGAGAAACAAACAGACACAGCTCCTCAGCTACTCTCTATTGTGCTTCTTACACTTTGTGAAAATGGAGTGGAATTTCATTTAACTGTGTGATTCGATTATTCACTCTTACAAGAGATAAAATAGGTGGATTTTCTCAAGAGACCACTGATGTTAATCACTTTAGAATTAGAGTCTCAGAAGCTGTTCTAGATATTTGTGCTTGTGGAAAACATTCAGTTACATAAGCATCAGTATTTGAAAGAGAAACAGACTTTACATAAAGCTAATTATTACACTTAGTCTTGACACTGTGGAAATACTAAAATCCAAAACAGAGATGAAAAATACATATCAATAAAGAAAAAAGACAATTTTCAGTGTAGACACAAAATAATTTGAATGTACAAAACTAAGAAAAATAAGTTTTCCTTAACAAAATGGATGATAAGACTTTATTTGGCATACCATGATTCTAACATTAATTTTAATAGCAAAAATACTTCTGCATCTTTTAGATACCTTATAATTACCTTTCACAAATAGAAAACATTTCAACAATGAATAATCAACTGATTATGGAAGTTACTTTTTCATATTACAATCCACCATAAAGTACCTTCATTTCATCATAAACATACTATCAATTTTTATACTTAAACGATATTATTCTAAAATTGAGAAATAGGTGATATTACATGAAATAGGATGTCTATTAAAATACTTTGGCAACTAAAATGCTGAGGAATTTATTCTCTAATAAAATCAAACAGAAATCAGAATTTAATCTTTCCCTAAGTTCTATAAACAAAACCACCACAACATTCATGCACAAATCTAAATTCTATAGACACTAAGTGGAACACTTCGTTCTAAATATATAATACCTTCAATGCTATACAGCTGGTAAGCATGACTTAATAATTTTATCATACTCACCCACAGTCCTGTGTAAATAAAAGAGAATATAACTTGTTTTCAGAGATTTATAGATTGTACATGTGGTTGTCTATGCCACACGAAACAACATTCTTAGTCTTATTTCAAGTATGCTTAGCCAGGAAAAACATCATAATCCACTTGCTTAATCTCAGCTAATGTGAATCACCAGTCCAGGTTCACCACAGACTGCCACTGCTCAGAACAGAATGTCTAACATCTCATCCAGCAAGTCCTCTCATATTAAAACACTATTTACCTATTAAATATTTCATTTGTATAATTTTCTATTTACTTAGACTGCGCAAGAGAGTCCCATAACCACATAAAATAAAAATGTTGGTGGGGAATGTGAGTTATCTAATCTACCTTCTTGTCAGAGTAGGTTTATCATCCAAACTAAATTCTTTAGTGGTAAAAATTTTAATATGTTAAAAATGGAGCTTCTACCTCTCACCTTATGACACTATTTATTAAATATCTCTAATTATTAGCTACCAGTAATTCTTGCTTTTGTTCATTCACTTCCTCAAGTTGATTCTCTTTGTGCTAAAGATTCTCCCATATTTTTCTCTATTCAGATAACTCAGTGAAAATAGTTGCACAGTTTCTCTAACAATAGTAAAACATGACAGTCTGAAGGAGTTTTGTTGTCCATGAGATGTTATTTATTTCTACATGAAAAAGGCCATGGCTTTTAATGTGTGTGAATATAGTTCAGGAAGAGACAGGAGAATTATGTTTAACTGTATTTTAGTTATGCCATGGATGTGGACTTTTTTTCTTTTTCCAGTGGAAATACTATGCTCCCAAGTTCCATCTAATTGCCACCAGATGTATAATCTGATTTGGAGTTTCTTTGCCTAATCAGGATTACACCAAGATCTCAAAACTAGCTGTGTAGAACAGTAACAAAAACACTGCTCAGTAAACAATACCATTGCATACTGTAATGAATTTTTAACCAGTCTCCTTAGTAGAAAATTCAACATTTATAGTAGTTGCAAAATACCACTTCAGTTCAACTTTCATATGATACATAGGTACAAATAAATATTAAATTATAACATTGCACAGATATTTTGCTATAAACATTGGTTTTTAACATAACATAATATAATAATTTAGGGCCTTAATCTATTTTAGCTAATGTTCTTGTATTCTAGTCAGTATTCTGTTGTTTATGCTTGCTCAGAAGATGAACAAGTGCAAATCCTATTCTGACGTCTTAAAACTAAACTGCATATAACAGGAATTTATACTGGTTTGGATATCCCTACAGTGTAGGATTTAAAACATCGTTGCTACCCTCATTAACTTTCCAGTGCATGCAAAGTCACTTTCAATAAACAGCTAATCCATCTGTGGTTTCCATGTACCACTAGGACTGGGGACTCAAGAGATTATACTGCTGGGACCTGGTGAAGATGACAATTAAGTGACACCATTTGACAGTGTAAATGCCTCTTATTTCTCTACAACTTCAAAAGGCTTGCAAAGCTTCTGTCCAGACGTATGTAGCTTAAAGGCCCACTGCATTCATTCTTGTACTACAAACACTTCATATATTTTGAAAAGATAGAAGAAATCAACTTTATAGTAAAAATAGCATCAATGAAATTATTCTTTATTCAGGCTTAAAGCTAACAAGCCACAAAAAAATTATCACAGTCCCAACGCAATCAATATTGATACAGAATCACCTTTTATCCACTCATGTGGGCAGCTTGGCTGACGTCCATTATTAAAATTTTGCAGTAAGAATTTAACCTTAATATCTGGAGAACAGTTGTTCTTTGTATGTAAACCTTGTGTAAAGAAAAATTGGGGAATACAAAATCAGTCCAGAAAATAGAAGCAAGCAAAATTAGGCCACGTGAGAAAACATATCACTGATTAAAATTGTGACAGCAAGCACGTTTACAATTTTTCTGAGTTGCTGTCGGTCTCACTTTTAAATTACAAGCCTGTTTATCCTCAAAACATCTTTAGTTCTAGGCTAATACTAAATATTGCACTTAACCTG